GATGACTCTTGAGCTCGACGTCTTGCCAAGAGCCAATCTTGGTTGCAAACCAGTGTTTCAAGAGATTCAGCGCTAAGACAACTTCGAAAGTCGGTTAGAATGTTGCCGCTAGCACTGAATTCTCGTTCAACTGCTACGGTTGATACCGGAACGGATAACACTTGTCTTGCTAGCATGCCGAGACATGGGAACATGTGTTCGTTCCGCTTCCACCATCCGAGCACATCAAAATCCACGTCGTCGTCGTCGTAATCGCATGGCACACCCTGGTACATAGCAAGTTCGTTGTGCGAGCTTACTGTTGTACCACTTGAACTCGTCGAAGAATGAGCACGCTTCCCTTTCTTTGCAAGAAGACCACCGACTATTCCGACAAAACCTTTTTTTGATTTCGGAGGCGGAGGTGGTGCTGCTTCTTCTTGTACAGTGCCATATAACCCCTGATATTCCTCAAACAAATTCTCAAAAAAAGTTACAGCATTATCTCTTTCTTTTTTCCATTCAACTAAATAACTGTAGTAATAACTATTTTAATCTAAAAAACAACTGTAGTAATACTCAATTAAAATTTTATAATTTTTAATCTTAAAGCGTGGATCACAAATAATATCTATTTTATAAATATCAGGAATGTACAAATAATAAGCACACCATTTTTGTATCATAGGAGAGACATATGGGTACAAATCTAGATCAGCCTTACTTTCACGAAAACATGTTGCGATTGTAACGCACTCTTTTAAAAATGTATTTGTAGTTGGTTGGTAAACATGAGAAAAAGTAAGAGTTGCGTTATTAAAAACTTCTAATACGGCATTCAATTTTTCAACAATAACAAATTCAAAAGGATCAATGATTATACGAAGTTCATCCCTAAAAAATTCAGCAAGTTCTTCTTTATATTTTAGAATCTGGTGAATCAATTTGTATGTACTATTCCATCTAATGTGGATATCTTTGGCAAAAACTATTTCTTTTCTACCCTTAGACTTACAGAACATCTTCCAGGACCTCGAAACAAGACGAGCCCCCCAAATTTTTTTAATTCCTTCTTTAATATTCGTCAAAACTCCGCCAATAGCTTCTAGTCCCTGTTGAACACATAAATTTAAAACATGACAGGCACACCGTTGATGCAGAAATCTACCCATAGACGTAGATGGTGGGCAAATTTCTCTAAGTCTAGGAATAGCTGCAGTATTATTAGTAGCATTATCAAAACCAAATGAAAATACTTTGTCAGATAAGTTGTATTCCCGCAGAATACTCTGAAGCAATAGGAAAATATTTTCAGCATTATGCTGTTCATTGAAATCACGAAATGCAAGAACACGTTTATGCATAATCCAATCACTATCTATCCAATGACAAGTAACACCCATATAAGACAAATTATGATAAGTTTCACTCCAAATATCAGAACAAATAGCAACACGAGAATTAAAATTGAGAAAAAAATTTGCCAAATTTATTTTTCCAGTTTTATACTGACGAATAATTTCTCGTTTAATTGTTTTTCTTGAAAAACCTCGTGCTTGAGGGTTTAATGCCTGTTGACAATAATCAATAAATCCAAGTTTTTCAGAAAACATGTATGGCAAATTTTCTTCACAAATCATTTCGGCCATTTTTTGCTTATTTTGCTCGTCGCTATAAGCAAAAAGGCCGCCCTTACCTCTGTTAGCAAACCGAGAAATTTGGGTTTGCACTTCTTGTCGTCCCTTCTTTTTTGCCTCGTATTTGGCAAACTCCACGGGATGCCTCGACCTTAGGTGTTTTTCCGGACCGCCATAACCGCCGGAGACTCCCATTTTTATGACGGTCCCACAATGTTTACAAGTTCCATAAACTACGCCATCTTTTGTTTCTTTGTCAAAATGATAAACAAATAACT